GTTTTTATTTATATTTTAAAATTAAAAATTCAGTTAGAATATATTGAAAATCTTACAACGTGTGCTAAAATTCATTTAATTTTCAGTTCATCACTTAACTTTTGGATCCGTAGTTGTGTATAAGATCCAAATTATTGAAATATTTCATCCACGTATAAAAATATATTTATATTTTTACTTTTTTTTCTTTTTTTACTTTTTAAGAACTATCTCTTATCTGATTTTTTAAAAATTATTTTCATGAATATTTTTTCTAATTTCTTTTGTACAGGAACATTTTTTTTTTTTAATTTTAAGAAAACTGACCCAACATGTCAGTTTTTTTTTTAATTGCTAAAATTTAAAGGAATGCTAAAATTTGGTGGTTGATTATGATTTTAAATTGGGTGTGTATCATAATTTAAATTTTTTGTTACCAACAAAAAAAGTATTTCGTAATTAAGGTTGGCTTTGGATAATTCTTTAGTAAAATTTTATAGAATAAAAAGTAAAATTAAATTAAATTAAATTAAATTAAATATATCTTCTAAATGAAAAAAGAAAAGAAAAAAAGAAGAAGTTAAACTCAACCTTGTCAAAACTAATTTGAACATAAACGGGTCAAGGAAATGGACCCGGTGATGATTGATGATTGATGAATGCTAAAGATACTGAATCCCACCCTGATTGCCAAGTCCCTGTACTACTTTCTAAAATACATTTTTAATAATGGGCCTTGCATCCCTAACATAGAAGTAGAACCCCAATAACAGTTTTTTTATTCAACTTTTGAGAATAGTACAGTATTCAAAAAAATTTAACATATGCAAGCAACGCAGTCGTGCATGGTGCTTACATTTTATTCTGGGTTTCCTATATAGTATTTATGTTGATAATTTAAAATGGGTAAGAGCTGGATTTCCATCGAGTCCCTTGTTATAAAAGTGAGCATTAAAATCCTGCAATAATGTTTCCCTGTACACTGGAGGATTTTCTTCTGACAATAATTCCTTTATGGGGCCATACATTCTTGTTGATGGGCAATGATCATGAGTGAAGAACAATGCAATTGAAACTCTGGCCTCTCTTTGGTTCACCAGTACACGGTGCTCCACGCTTTTGAATTTGTCATTGGAAATAAGCTGCACTTGTAGTAACAAGATTCATTTAACCATATATTTTGGTTATTCGTGAAAATCTAAGTTAACAAGCATCACACACAAGGAGAGAATGAAAAATTACTTCTACTTAAATTTGATTTTGTTGCTCATCTTGTGTATTACAGCAAATTCACATTGATATTGTACTTGTATGCTAATCAAGACACATCAAATTATATGAAATTATGTGTGTCTAACTTACCTGCAGCAGATCTCCAATGTTTACAACTAGTGCTCCAGGAATAGGGGGCACATCAATCCATTGATTTTGGACCAAAACTTGAAGTCCACCAATATGGTCTTGAAGCAAGATTGTGAGGAAATCAGGATCTGTGTGGCTACGGGAGCCCATAGTCAGTTCAGGCTCAGGACATGATGGATAGTAGTGACAGAAAATTAAGTGTCCCTTTGCACAATCCATGTCTTTAAGATGGTCATGCTTGAGTCCAAGGGCTTCAGATAATAATTCAAATAAAAGGTTCCCCAATATTTGACCTTGCCTTGAGAATTCCATTATTACATCCCTGAAAATTAGATCAAGATACAAATAAATACTATATAGTATGAGTGGACAATTATCTATTCCACCAAATGTTATGCCAAAATCATTTTAGTTCATAAACTCTAAAATTAACAAAAACATATTCCTCCCTCCATGTGATTGACGTATACTCAAGTTAAAACACAAGCTAGTATTGGTTGCTGCTTACTATCTGTTATGGAAAATTATTAACTTGTGCGAAAATAATGCAATTCTTTCACACACCTTCAAGCCACTCAAGATCACAACAACAAGCAAATTTTCAACAAAACTAGTCCTAGTCAATCTCTTATTCTCATAATCATATGCAGAAGAAGCCCCCTATTTCTTTTACTTTATTTAATGCTACCGTACCTCATAGTCTACACTTAAGTGTGAATCATCTGTATACACTCAACTAATTTCAATCTATAGTGACCATGCTTTTGCATATTTATACCATACACAGCCTTCTATCCATATTTTGCGAGGAATCATGGAGGTGTGTGAATTAGATGCCTCAAAAGAACAAATCAAAATAATCATGGAAAAAATGATCATGCATATCAAAACAAACCATTGGAAACAAAATCATGGAATGGAAATCAAAACAATAGCCATAAAGTCACGTGATGTTGTTATTTTCAAACATATGCACACATTGGCATTGTGTCAATAATACTCTATATATGTAAACAAATCATAATAAACAATCTCCTACCTGTTTTGAATCACATTAGACATGTTATAGGTAGAAATGTTCATTTTCCAATGTTAATGTATAGCTTAAAAAGTTGAAACTTGCCTACAAATAGGAGGCAGCTCTTGAGGATCAAGAGGTTCAGGTGCCATGGTACAATTGAGAGTGTCCCTCCAATTAGCATACTTAGACTGATACAAATCAAAGTTAGTCCAATAATTCACCTTCTTCTTCTTCTCCCTAGTATAATACTCACCCTTCACCTCTTCTGGAAGCGCCTGGAACTCACGCGCCGCCGCCACCATGTCCTCCAACACCTTCACAGGCACTCCGTGGTTCACCACCTGGAAAAACCCCACCGTCTCCGCCACCTCCCGGATCCCGGCGACCACGCCGGAGCGGTCGCCGGCGGCATCTTTGAGGTCAATGACAGGAATCCTGAACTGGGTATTGCTCCGATCGCCGGGAACTGGGTTGCTGACGGCGAGATCTTCGGGCGGCATGATGAAAATCCGTGGCACTTTGGTGACGCCGGCGTCGACGAGACGGCATGATGAAAATCCGTGGCACTTTGGTGACGCCGGCGTCGACGAGACCCTTGTTCCTGCGTAGAAACACTCTTGTTGTTCTTCTTACTTGGTCTTCAAGGTCCTCAATGCCGACCGAGTACTGCCTCCAAGTGGTGGGGGAGGGTACCTGCAAAGACACTCCGACGATCAAGTAAGTATTCGGTTCAGAGCAATAAAAGCTTTATATGGAACAGTAACGTACCTCTTTTATGTCACATCACCTGTGTATGTATAGTGACATGTGTGGGCCTGGTGGGCCTTCATTCTTGGGAGATGGGTAATATATAATTATCCTTAATCATTCTTAATTAAGGGCGGTAACTATTGTATAACAAGTAATTATTGTCAAACCTTCATTCTTTGTTGGAGTTCTCGGCCAGGTGTGTGGCCGAAAGGGTGTTCGGCCTACCTTAGGGCCGAGGGGATGTTCGGCCAGGTGCAAGACCGAAAGGGTGTTCGGCCTTCTTTAAGGCCGAGAAGGTGTTCGGCCTGGGTAAGTGCCGAGAGGGTGCACTTTGACACCAAAGGGATACTTGTCTTGTCCTTGGTGGTGGTGGAGGTATTCGGCCTATCCCAAGGCCGAGGGGGTGTTCGGAATAGGACAATGCCGAGGAGGTGTTCGGCCCACCCTCTAGCCGAAGGGGTGATGTGTTTTTTATCGGCTCGGGCACCTCTTTCGGCCTATTGAGCAAAGGGGTGCCAACTGGTGTCTTATCGGTTCGGGTACCCCTTTCGGCCTATTGTCTGACCGAGGGGGTGCCTACTTGTACAACCCTTAACGCCGCGTTTGGATTTGTAACGACCCGCCACGGTCTCTACACTTAGTGGAATCGCACTACAACTAGTTAACTAAGAGAATATTAAACTGGATAACACATACATACAAGCATAAATATAAAGATCGAAATAATTAAGTTTCTGTATATAAAATATAGCACCATATATGTACAGTCATCCCAAAATATTCCTTAGTGCCGGTCAAGCACTGACAAAAAAAATGTTACCCAGAATGGTAACTCAAAACACGAGACTTAGCTCCTCGTTTCACAATGATCATCTCTACTCCCAAGCTATCCCTGACAATAGGGGCAAGGTCGAGCTATACTGATTACAAGCGGCCAATTCGAGTAAAGTTCGAAGTCGGGAACTTAGTTCCTAACCGAGTATCGGAGGGTTGTAGTATTTGGAGAATAGTCAGTAGACTAATCCCATATGTGGCTTAATTGAGCTAGCTAATGTCGTGGTAGGCCTAAACCCAGTTGTCCTATCCTGACATAGTACTATACTTCCTTAATGTTTAAGTGACAAAGTCTGAGAAACCGTTATCGTATTGTAGATCTTTATCCAAATTTTTTATTTACCTAGCAAGCCCAAAAAGGTTCTGTGTTGTCAGTTCGATAGGACCTAACCACTTAAGTTGCTCACCCTGTGTTGTAGGAGATCTCCGAGTTAAAATGCTATGTGTTGATGAGTTGATATTGTGATGATATGAGTTGTATGTGTTGACTTGTTGTGACAAGTGTACCAAATCGTATAAGTAGTTCAATGAAAGTATGAGTATCGTCTCCCAAGAGACTTGCGCAACACTTTGCAATTTCACTTGTTATACTAACTAAGCTACCGAAGAGCAATAAGAGTTTGATTTGCTGTAGTAAATAATGTAAACAAGCAATAACAATTCTTTTTGGTATTTTGGTAAACACTTAGAGTGCAAAACTTTATTCTAATGCAATATTTATAAATTGTTGGGGTTTAACTTCACTAAACCTTCCTCTCATGCTTATCACTAAGTTCACAATAGTTATTATTCAGAATTTTATCAATCACTCTCAAAAGTAACCAACCCTAATCTCTTACAAGTTGGCATCTAAGTTGCTAGCTTAAACTATCAATCTTTTGCATAGTTTAACCAAGAAACCAGCTTTAAAAACAAGAGCTTAAGAAAGACCAATGGCATTTACTCTATCTCTAGCAATAAGCACCATTAGCTGCTCTATTTCAAGTCAAAGGTTTAAAATCATTTCTCAATCTCTTAAAAACCT